ACACACACACACACACACACACACACACACACACACACACACACACACATACACACACAGACACACACACATACGCACACATGTATTGACCAGTTGTAGATAAGGCATGCCTGGGCATGAACACATCACATAACGCTGTGAGGCAAATGCAAGTCTTGACTGGCGGAGTACAAGAGGAAGACTAAAGGTACCGAGTGTCTAAAAAAAAGGACACATTAAAAAGGCAGTAACTCGGCCATCTTCACCATGTCCGAAAAATATTCAGTATTTTAAATTTCAATAAAACTGAGCGAAACACAAAACTTTGCAACTTCTTAAAAATCAGCCATACTGTTCTATTTCAAAGCGTCACATTATGTGCACTGTGAAGAACAAATTTATACAAACATTATGTTATCAAGTATACTCTTTGAGGTGATGGCTCTTCAAAGTTCCAGGTGGTGACCATTTCCCTCCATACAAGCTTCAATAAGCCGCTGGAAATTTTGAATAACCCCGTAGCATGTTTTTGGGGTGGATTCTTTGGACGTCCTTTTAAACACTAAGTTTCAGAGTTTCAACTGTTCCATCGTATGTGGTTTGTTTCCGTAGAATCTGACCCGCCCCCATCCAAACACAAAACAAAACAAGCAAAATCCACAAAGGTAATAACTGGACGATTTTAAGAAGTGAACAATTCGTGGTTTACCCAATTTTGGTAGACATTTTTCAAATGTGATATTTCTCGAAGGCGTTGATCGATTTTCTGCACATTTACAAACTTGATGTCCTCACGCCTGATTTAAAAAAAAAAGTTTTGTTAAAACTAGTGCACAGATGACCGAGGAACTCTATTTTAAGAAGGTCCTTTTTTTAGACACCCTGTATAAATAAGAAGAGCAGGGTCGGTCGTTGGGCAGACGTAAGTGTGTCTAGCATGTCTCTGCATGACCTTGTATGTCGGTGGCACTGAGCCCTGTGACACTCTTCTCTCTCTCTCTCTCTCTCTCTCTCTCTCTCTCTCTCTCTCTCTCTCTCTCTCTCTCTCTCTCTCTCTCTCTCTCTCACTTCCTCTCTACCCCTTCTCCCCTATAGCGTGGTCTCCGTATGGCTGTGTATGTCCGTGGTACTGGGTAGAGTAACACTTGTCTGTCTGTCTGTCTATTTGCCTGTCTGTTTGTCTGTCTGTCTGTCTGTCTGTCTGTCTGTCTGCCTGTCTGTCTGTCTGTCTGTCTGTCTGTCTGTCTCACTCATTCTATCCCCTCTCCCCTATAACGTGGTCTCTGTGTGACCATGTATGTCCATGGTACTTGGTCCAGTAACACTTTTCTGTCTGTGGATCTCTCTCTCTCTCTCTCTCTCTCTCTC